TTAGCAAAAGTGTTAGCTACTCATGGCCTCGCTGTGCAGACGGCGATTTTTTTGAAGATCACACAATGATTGCCCTGATCGTAGTAGCTCTTTGTAAGCTCAACCTCTGGCACCTGGGCCACTAACTTCTCCAGCTCGTTCTCCTCAAAGACGTGATAGTAACGTAGAAACGTGGTGCGTTGCTCATCCTTGGTCTTCCAGGGTACTAGGACGTCCTGCTGCTGGAACTCAGTGCGGTTGGTGTGCACTGGAAGGGAAACATGATCCTGTGGCCGCTGTTCAAGTTCATGTTGCTGCTTCTGTCGCTGCTCCTGCTCGGTGGTGCGTTCCTTGTTCACGGCCTTGTTTTGCCTGAGGTAGGCGGATTTCCTATCGTTGCGTCGCTGTTCCTTGGCCCAGACATAGACCAGAGCCCGGCCGCCTGGCCGGAGGACACGTGCCATCTCCCGTAGAGCACTCAGCCGACGGTCAGCACTGGCCAGATGATGGATGACCGCAATGCTGATGCACCCATCGATGCTGGACGAGCGCACGGGTACACTTAGGCAGTCGCAACGAAAGACGTTCTGGCCCTTTTGTTGTCCGACTGCGAGCAATCCTTGGGACCGATCACATCCAATGGCTAGGATGTGGGCATTGCAGCCGAGGTACTTTCCATTGCCACAGCCGACGTCCAGGACCACAGACTCGGGCTCGAAGCTATCCAGAAACTGGGCCACCAGAGGCCACGGCGAGTGCCGCGTCTCACTGAAATGATTTGCAATTTTATCGTACACCTCGTGAACATTCTGCTGCTCAAGACTAACGGCTTGGTCGGCCAGTGTGGACAACTCTTGCGGCACTTTGGATTGCTGGCTATCACACAGCGTGGGGTAGGAGCAGTTGCAGTTGCCTCGCCGGAGGCGCCTAAATGTGAGGGATGTCCTCTTGTTGCGGACTTGCGTAGTCAAACTTCCAGTGGCTGTGGGCACCACATCGATGTGCTTGGGCTTAATCCCATGCGTCCAATCGTAGCGAGCTTCTCCGGACATGATCAATAGGGAGCGGCGGGGCAGCTTCACCTGGACCTGCGCCTCACCACGCCGAAAATCCATAACCACATCAGACTGCAAGGACAGTGAGAGAATGGGATCCAAAAATGCACTGTGGGTGTCCACATGAGGCGGTATGCCATGTCCTGGCTCGTACTCATTGACCGTCAGTTGGTCCGGCGTGCTCCAGTCCCAGGAAGAAGAAAAGCTCTCAAGCCGCGGCCAGAGAAAACCACAGGCTGTGGGTACAGATTGCTCCAGAGGCTTCGTGGGGTCGACGTTGTTGCTGCCATATAGAAATTCGTAGCCAAAATGCTTTACATGACGGTGTTTGAGGGTGCCCTCATAAGATCTGCCATCTTCGGCAATGGATCTAAGCAGCGTCGCCTCCTCCGCATCGCTGACAAAGTCTGGCAGTACAATGAGCCCACTGGGCAGCGGTTTGTTCCATTCACTTTTCCCGGCCAGCGTAGGCAATGCCTTGACATAGCTTAGATAGGCCACTGCTCCCTGCTGTCCGATGGTCGACACATTGTGCATGCCCGTGTACACAAGCTGTGAGTCCTCAAGAGAGCAGCAAACGAGAAAACAGTACGATTTTCCGGTCAACATTGCCACCTCAGAGACGCTGCCGCCTGTCTGGGCGGCCGCTTCGAGCAAACTCTCCTCTGTGAGTCCATTGCTTAGTCCCACGTTCAGAATGGCCAAGTACACGGTGGGGGTGTCGCTAGGAGACACATCACAGTCGCTTTTGATAATTGCCAGGCATCGACGCCGTTTTTTATCCGCTTTTTTGGCATTGTTTACAGTTTGCTGCTGTTGCTCAACGTGCATGCTGCCACCAGTGTGTACATATCACCCCGAAAGGAAATATTTAGAAAATCAAAAAATAATAGGGGGATATCAGTTGCAAATGAAATATAATTATTGTATGGTATACCTCAAGCCTAACTAAGTGCTTATAGTTATTGATAGGGAAAATCTTACAGATATATATTAGTTTTAGAACATATTCTACCAGACTCTGTCAATCATGCTGTTGTCCTGCGGCTTCTGATTCATCGTGGTCAACTGCTGATGGTAGTTGCGCATCTGATTGCTGCGTCGCGGCTGTGCCAGATACTCGAACATGCTCTGCAGATGCTGCGACAACATCTTGCTCAAGTCACTGGGCATGGGATCGGTCCAGAAGAAGTCGTGGTTCAGTGCTGTATCCGCATCAATGCGCTTCTTGGGATCCAAAGTCAGGAGTTTGTCGAGCAAATCGCACCCAGTGGGATCCTTGACATACGGACGCAGGCGCTCCTTGACGCGCCGTTTCTGATTCTTTGGCAGTTCAATGGACTTGTACAGTTCCAGTTCCTCCACTCCTGGCCAAACGTCTGGCGTAAACGATCCACACAGCTGCGAGATGAAAGTCAGCTGCTGCTGCTCTGTGTTGCCCTGCATAATGGGAGACCGTGTCCACATCTCGGCCATGATGCAGCCAGCGCCCCACATGTCCACGGGCGGACCATAGTTGCGATCTCCCAGCAGCAACTCTGGCGGCCGATACCACAGCGTGACCACTCTGTTTGTGTAGCGATTCTTTGAATCATTCTTTGGGATACTAAATGCGCGTGCTAAGCCAAAGTCTGCCAGCTTTAGGATTCCATGTTTTGTAATCAGAACATTGGCAGCCTTCATATCTCTATGCAAAATCTGGAAAATAGCACAGCCAAAAGATGGAGTTCTCGTGCCATCATAATAAATGACATACACACCTTGTTGCTGTGTATGTAGTAGAGGCCGTTCAGCAGCTGCTGCATAACCTTTTTGATCTCTCCGAGGCTGAATTTCACGTTCATGTTCGACAGCAGCCCAGCCAAGTCGTGCTCGCAGAAATCGAAGACCAAATAGAAAGTGGACCTGTAACCATTGGTGGCTGTGGCCTTCGTTCGGCAGATCTCAATCAGGTTGACCACATTTTCGTGCTTCAGCAGTTGCAGGATTCGAATCTCACGCAGGGCTGTGATGGGAAACTATTCAGAAGAAAGATATATTGTTTCCGATTCGCTGTGAAATAATTTGTCCACTCACGCCTTCCTTTTCGTTGTCCATGAGCACTTTTTTCATGGCCACAAACTTTTTGTTGCTCTTCTTTTCCCGGGCCTTGAACACCTCACTGGAATACACAAAAAATGCATCCTTTATAGGGATATGTACAAAAATGCTCTAATTAACTAACCCAAAGGTTCCCTGGCCAATTTTGGCCACCTTTTCATATTTGCTGCTCTCATCGCAGTAGGGAAAGTCGTAGTCTTCAATGTACTTCTGCTTCTCCATCAGCGACATGGTCCGCGACGAAGTTGAGGCCACGCTGGAGGGCGTGGACGGTTGCTGCAACATGTGGGACATGTGCGCCATGGTCAAATATCAAAAATTTTCACGTTGCACAGTCACAAATCAATTCGAAACGTAGGAGCGCAACAATTAGTGGTTTGGTGGCCTCGATGTTTATTCCAAGTTAAATGTGGACACACCATGCTGAAGATATCGATGTTAGTACCGATGGTTCTGCGATACACAGCTGATACACAATTATACTTTTCTGTTTGTTTGTGTACACTGGCCAAGTGATATAACCTATCGACCACTTAAAAATAAAAACCGAAATTAATGAATAAACTATTAAATATAGCGCAGGCTGTGCCGCGCCAATTTATTCGTGAATATGCCTTTAAGTCGGACCTAAAAATCAAATGGGTGCGCCCAGAGAAGATCTCCTGCATTAAGCCAGAAAAGAGCGGAGATCTTTCCAAGCTTCCACCCCTGAATGCCGACGAAGTTATTCTGGACTACAGAGATTGCAAGGAGTTGGAAAAGTAAGCGCGTCTGGCAAACAATTCGATGCGGAAGGTATTAAGTAGTGTTGATTTGCTTTTGTAGTGCCGACGATACGGTTAAATCCCTGTTTAAGCTGTGCAACAGCGCCAACCATCTGACGACACGTTACTACCGCGATCAGATGGTGAAGGAAGTGCAGAGACATGCCCAGGACTACGGATCGATGGAGTCGAAGTGTAGGTATCAAATGATCAAAGGTTAAGAGCTCACCGGGATATTTTCACCTTGCTACATGCTAGTCAACCGTTCAGAAACTGAAAACTGACTTATATTCTTTAAAATTCTCGCTTTAAATAGAATGCAAATGTTTCTCATACGATGACAGGGTATACGCAGGAACCCTAGGTAGGAGATAATGGTAGTTTGCAGGAAAGCACTCTCCATAAAATAGTTAGGTACCCAGTTCAGCCAGATTTTATGGGTGTGTTTTGTATTTGGGTTTTTTTCTAGCTGGTTTTACTTTTTCCTCAAGTGCTTCTGCATAGTGACCAATATAACATTCGTCCTTTTTTAGTGGCCAACATGACCGCCATTATTCGTCGTTATCAAGAGCATATGGATAAGCACCCCCGCGACAAGATGATTAAGGTGCGGCTCAAGGAGCTGATTGATAAGCGCAAGAAGTTCCTTAAATATCTGAGACGCTGGGACTATCCCCGCTTCGAATGGATATTAGAGAAGCTTGATTTGGTATACAAGCCACCGCCAGCACATTTCCATTGGATCACCCGCAAGGAGTCGCTGCAGAAGTTAACCGACGCCTACTGCGAAAACTTGAAGGAGCAACGACTTGAAGCCTATCATAAAGAACTGCAGGCCCAAAAAATACCCTTCTTAGAAGATGCCATCCGTAAAATGGAATTTATACGAAAAGAGCAAATATCGTGCGATATTCCATTGACGGTGACCGAGGAGCAAATCGAGAAGTCGAGGAAAGAGTTGGTTCTGTTGATAGAGCAACGCGATGCGGCAGCGGCTGTTACCAGCAAAAAACAAGACGAGGATAGCTTCAATTAGGCCCAATTTTTGTATATTATGGTGTCTTACAATAAATGTAAATGCTGCTGTTCTTAAATTATGGCTTTTATTATAATTTTTAGAATAAATTTGACCTTATTTAGCATGTCATGATCGGGGGCAGCGCAGAGTATGTAACGTAAATAAATAAACAAATAAATATCCCCTCGGAAAGAAGTGAAGAGAAACGCAATAAAATTTAGCTAACGTCTGCTGGGCGATGCTGTGCTCTTCTTGCCACGCCTACTGGTGGACCCACTGCTGGTCGAGCTGCTCGAGGATGACGACGACGATGACGAGTCGCTTGAGCTGGACGAGCTAGACGAGGACGAGGATGATACGGACGATGGGGAATCGCGTGAGGTCCGCTTGCCCTCCTTGATGTCTCTGCCATTGCCCGTCGGCTCCTTGTTATTGACTTCGGATGAGGTTACTTCATTGTCACCCCATAGATCGTACTTGGACAGATCCCCATCATCATCATCGTCGTCCTCTTCCTCATCCTCCCCAGCGTCACTGGCCCTCCTTGCTCGCTTAGACCCATCGCGCTCTTCATAGCTCTTCCGCTTCTTACGCCGCCCAAACTCATCGTACTCGCTGTCCGACTCCTGGCGTTCCTTGTACTCTACAACTCCGCGATCATTATAGCCACCGCCAAAGCCTAAAATCGGTAATTAGCAAGCTTATTTGGATTGTGCTCTGCATAGAGCTTACCAGTTCGCTCCTCCGAGTCCGTAAACTTGGGCGAATTACACATGTTGCAGGTCTGCCGCCTGGCCCAGTTCACGTTTGCACACTTGGCGCACTGCCAGTCCTCGGCGCTGAAGAGCCCTCGCGACTTGTCCGCTGCCGCTTTGCCGATCTCGGTGCCCAGCTTCTTCTTGCTGGAGCTGCTGCTGCTGCTGCTACTGCCATTGCCCCGGTCACGGTCGCGCTCTGGCTTATCAATGCTATCACGGTCGTGATTGCACTTATTGCATTGCGTGCGGCGCGCGAAATTCAGATGCCGACAGCTGCAAAGTCGTGGGAATATATCAAAATGCACAATTTATTGAATTTGTCTCCTGGCGCTTCATGGGTATTCGCGTTTCCCTCAATCTTTACGCGCACTCACTCATAATCTGGGCAAATCCAATCACCAGGCGAGACGACGCCGCCGCTGCTGCTGGTGCCGCCCGCTGCTCCGCCACTCCCATTGGAATTGGTGGACATATCTAAGCTCGATTGTAGCCTCTCTAATGCCACTTACTGCTCGGAGAACCCTCTTAGCCTGAGCTGAAGCATTTAAACGACTTTTATACAATTATTTCTGTATACGAATCCGGTTGAAGATTTTCCAACAAAAAAAATATGCACAGCGTTGCCAGACGATAGCACAATCGATGCAAATATCGATAGATCTGTACCAGAACCGACCGGTCACACTGCTGGCCATTCCACCCCTCCGACAATGTCCTTACCATTAAGATCCACAGATTTGACTTGGATTTCCTTTTCGAACATTTTTCGCCAATATACTACATATATGCATACTTTTAATGGTGTTGTGCATATAATATTTTCAAATGAGTTCATTCACGATTTACTTTTAGAGTTTTATTTACTTAGTATACAAACAAAAGCCGCTCCAAAAGTAAACACTGATTTTGTTTCGTCCTTTGTTTGTTGGTGTAAAGGTGTAACTAACGCATAACCAGCTGCTTTTGGGAATTGTCGGTGAGCGTTCCAGCAGGCCGACAACACACACGCACTCAGGATTTGTCAGAGAATTTACTTCTTGCCAGCACCAATCTTGGCCTTGGCGGTACCACGGACCTTCTTCATCCTGTTGCGACGTTCCTTGCGCTGCTTGCGGGTCTGCTTCTTCTGCTCGAAGAGACCGTGACGGGCCAGGCGGTACTTGGGCTCGAACTTCTTGGCAAAGTCCAGGGTGTCGTAGATGAGGGCAAAGCCAGTGGAGCGGCCGCCACCGAAGTTTGTGCGGAAACCGAAGGCAAAGACGACATCGGGAGTCACCTTGTACATGGCAGCGAGCTTCTCGCGGATCTCGGTCTTGTTGACCGACGAGAGTCCCGGGTGCAGAACATCGCAGACCATTTGTTTCCTGGCAAGCAGGCGGTTGGTCATGAACTTGCGGGTGCGGACTGTGGCGGTTGTACCGGACATTTTGACGGAGCTGAAACACAAAATCCACAGATTAGTCAAACGTTTTACACAAATACTCTAGCAAATGGTTTGCCACCACAAGTTGTTGTTGTCTCTGTGCAAATCAACATAACCTCACTGCAATGAGAATGCTCCGCTGACCAGCTCGAGACTCCACGTGTGACACGCTGCTCGCGGCACTTGTTTACGCACACTCTACGACCGCTACCTTCGTCCGCAGGCATGTGCAGAATTTAGCACGGTCCTTCGGGCTCGTTTTTACCTGTTTTGGGGCTATAATTACCTATTAAAACACTCGAAAACGCTTTAAACACGTCTCACTGCGAACGCGAATTTTTAGAAAGGAAAATGGTAGCACTTATCGATAAAATATACCGTCCGACCCTGAGAAATATACCGAAATATACGGTCTCATTTTAAAAATATACCGTAAATATATTTTTAGAAAGGGAAATGATAGCACTTATCGATAAAATATACCGTCCGACCCTTAGAAATATACCGAAATATACGGTCTCATTTTAAAAATATACCGTAAATATATTTTTAGAAAGGGAAATGGTATCACTTATCGATAAAATATACCGTCCGACCCTGAGAAATATACCGAAATATACGGTCTCATTTTAAAAATATACCGTAAATATATTTTTAGAAAGGGAAATGGTAGCACTTATCGATAAAATATACCGTCCGACCCTTAGAAATATACCGAAATATACGGTCTCATTTTGAAAATATACCGTAAATATATTTTTAGAAAGGGAAATGGTATCACTTATCTATCAAATATACCGTCCGACCCTTAGAAATATACCGAAATATACGGTCTCATTTTAAAAATATACCATAAATAAATTTTTAGAAAGGGAAATGGTAGCACTTATCGATAAAATATACCGTCCGACTCTTAGAAATATACCAAAATATACGGTCTCATTTTGAAAATATACCGTAAAAATACTATTTCTACTATTATATTTTACATATTCCTCGTTTTTGATTTTCCGTGGAATATTACTAACTATATAGAACATTTAGCCATGTCCACATAATTTTAACCGATTAATGAATAAATTTTCTACTTAACTGGCTTATTTTTATTACTTGCTTTTATTGTATTTATTGTAAAACAAGGTTTAAACAAAATAGTTCACAAAAAAAAACAGTCGCACTGTTGCTGGTATTTGAAGACATGATGCGTGTATAGGCCTTGCATACCCTATTTCGTTAATTTAATACTGGCATCTAAACTGTTTTTAAAACGTGATTAATAAAGACATTTTCCCCAAATTGATATGTTTTAGACATATTCGGGCATATGAGTATTAACTTGTATATATATACATATATCCTTATACCTGTTCTTGGTATCTGTAGAAAGACGATGAGCAGCAAAATATCATTGAAATAGGTTTACAACAGAGACTAAATTGTTTTTGCATTAATTGGAACGTGAGATGACAAACATGTTCTCAATTCTATAACACACATTTCTCCCAGGGTATTCCCAGAAACATTTTGGAATGAGACTCATTGTTGCATATCGGTTATTTCCGATTCAAATAAATATCGCAGCTTACGGTCTAATTTCCAAAATATACCGACGAATTATTCAAATTCCTCGTTTTTTATATTCCGTTGAATATTACTAGCTAGATAGAACCCTCAGCCCTGCCCACAAATTTGTATCCAATTAATGAACTTATTTTCTACTTGACTGCCATATTTTAAATACTTGACTTTCACAGTTTTTGCATCAATTTTTATTCCTCAACAATATAGAGTAAAAACGAACCTAGCTCACTTAAGCCCCCTCTATTTAAACAGTTCAACGACTTGAGGTAAATGGTAGAAAATCCTGGTTGTAAATTCTTCTTGTATATCCATTCTATCCTTTCTATTTTTTCTTTCCGTTCCTTACGATATCTTTCACCTGAACTGCTTTAAAAATTATTCAATTATTCATTTTCGTAGAGTGTACTTTAATACCCACTGGTCTACAATGGTTCTCTGTGCATGATCAATATTCTATGATTTGGATACACACATAGGAATGCTCACATAGGAATGCTTCGACTTAGTTCCTGACCGTCACTTCCATGGTTTCCCGGGCTTTATTGACTTTAATATTTCTTTTTAGCAACTCCCTCATCGCACTCCAAATATACGGATGATTGTTTTGAAAGAACAGTCATTACAATGGTTCAAGGTTCCGTTTGATCCTTACAGGTCTGAAAATACATAAATATTTGAGAGTTTCGTCCCTTTCATTAAGTAAAGAGCGGATCTTCTATACTGTCTCGTTCTTTATTTTTAGATGGAAAATATGATATAAATATTTTTTTTTTAATTTTAGTGCAGTGCAATAATATAGATATATGTGATTTCAAAAGTAAATCGGAAAACTTTTGTGAATGTGAAAAACGGAGCCTGGCTGATAGTGACATGTCCACAATTCTCCACTTCACATACACATTATGTTTATGTCCAATTCACTCACCCCATCCACAAAAGTAACAGGACACCACTCAAGAATCAATAACTGATTCTTCCCACACTCCAAGCTAGAGTCCACTAATATAAACAATGGACCCCATTGATTCATGAACGCCAGAATCACGCCACTCTCGAGAAATCGATTCTTTAGAATCATGCCACTCATGAGGACCAATCAGAGCTAGTTATAAAACTAAGGAGTATCACATTCCTAGCTCCCTCATGTAATGCAACACCGATCGCCAGCAGCGGATGCCTTTCATCAAAGCCGACGCATCCCCAAATATCGGTCGAGGCACGTACGCCACCGACACGAAGATGCAGCCGAGGAAAACAACACAAACGACAAAGACTGTCTTGGCTCCCAGAGCTAGGGCCTTGAAGATATCAATGCCCTGCATGATGCCCCCATCCAGCATGACCACCAAGTCGTGGCCCACAGCCTTCACCACTTCCAGAAGGGCTTCTATTGAGGCTGGGACTGTGTATAATTGACGCGCCCCTTGTTTGGATACGATGATCCCGGTACAGCCAAACTCTTTGGCGAGTACGGCGTCTTCTGCAGTCAATATCCCCTTCACGACGATGGGAAGACGAGTGACTTTCTTCAGCCACTGGATGTCCTTCCAGGTTATTGTGCGATCCAACTGGCCGGCCACGTACTCATTAATGCCAGAGGTTCCCGTTATGGTGGGGCCACGCCGCCGGCCTTCGCACCCTGGAAGTTGGCCAAAGTCAAGTGTGGCGGTAAGCTGAAGTTGTTCCGAGCATCGGCTCTCCGTTGATCGGGGCATCAATGGTCAGGCTGAGAGCCTTGAAGTTGGAATTCTCCGCACGATGTATCATCTTCTCAGTTATCATGCTGGGTTCGGAAAGCCATACCCACACAAGTGTTAATAATACTCAGGTAATGAGACCCTAAAGCGACCCCATGCCTACAGGTCTTTGTAAATGTACAACTGAAACCATTTGAAGGTGTCGGGTTCGCCGGCGGCCAAGTCCTCCAGCGATGTGTTCGAGAGGTTGCTGAGAATGAAGATGGATCCGGCTTGTCCGGCAGCTCTTGCATTGCCCAACTCGTCATCGGGATGAGCCCTTTTCTGCATTGCTGTGGGTGCGATCCCCAGCGGCCACTTCATTTTCTCCCCAAAAATCTCACATCCGATGTCCAGCTGGGAAACGCCTCTCAGGCAGCGTGGACGGAGACGAAGCCTTCGGAGCACTTTGCCGGAGCAGTAGAAAATCATCATTTGTTGAACTTTCTTTTGGAACCAAAGTTTTTATATGCTTTTTTAATGCCCGCTAATATCGATCCTACAGCTGACATAGCTATATGATTCTCCAGAATTTCCACTCCCTCGGCTTGTACTCCTGTTCGAGGTAATATATAGATATGACAGGGTCGGTAATACTCTTCTTCTGTAATATCCTGAAATATAACGAAATTTACTTAAGCTATTTAAAATAGATTTTAGCTTGTTTTGACTTACTTGCATCTCTGATTCAGCTATATTCGGCATCACTGTTTAAAACTTGTTTGTTTTCTTATCGCTGTCTCTCTCTCTTCGTTAGTTACTCTCTCCGCACTCATTTACGGCAACTCGTTATACTCTCTTTCCATCTCCCTCTCCCACGCAAACAACTTATTTCAACCAC